CACAAGTACCGATCTTAAAACAATCTAGTTGAATTAGACTTCCATAACCAATAACACCCTCTTGAATCTAAACACCGTAAGAATCTTCAATTAGTGGAAAGTTGAGAGATGCTTTTACAAATCTTGTACTAATATTGGACTAAATGGGTAAAAAAAAAAAGCAATCCCATACTCAATTAGCGGGCTCAATATTCTAGTGGGCCGATCTAAACACTATATTTAGGCCCATGAGAGAGCTTTAAAGAAAAAGCTTAAAACAATAAAAATTGAAACACTCTTCTTCCTTCGAAACAATAAAAATATTTCTAGGTTTCAGGCAGAGAAAAAAAAAGGGGAAGGTTTCGTTCGATTTAGGGTTTTTGTGAATCGAATGATGAGCCGGAATTTAGGGATACCGGTGAAGCTTCTTTACGAGTCGTCCGGTCATGTAGTGACGGTGGAGATGAAGAGCGGTGAGGTGTACAGAGGAAGCTTGATCGAATGCGAAGATAACTGGAACTGTCAGATTGAGAACATCACTTACACGGCTAAGGTAATTAATGTATCGATTTTATAGATTTTTTTTTGCTCGTTTCGAGAACCCTAGGTTTCGTTTCTTCTCCGATGATGATTGAGAGATGCTGGGAAAAAACCCTAGATTTGGTGAGAATTGAATGTGTATTCTGGAATTTAGCGGCTTTAGGTTGCGTAGCTTTCTGGGTTTTTGAGAGTAGTTCTATTTTCGTAGAGAATTGAGAATCTTGCCAGTAAAAAACCCTAAAATAGTGTTCCCTGAAGTGCTCTTCAGATTGTCTTATTAAAAGATTGGTTTAAGATCCTGCATATGTTAGTAGTAGAGGAGGAAGGTTATGCAGCTCTTGCTTATGTTACAACTATGTAGAATCATGATGATAAAAGATAAGACATCTTGTCTTCTTTTCATAATCAATGATATGGCTTCAGTAGAACTTTGTAAATATTCGGAACGAAATTGTCGGTGATTCGAGATTGTATATGTTTCATCTTAATGTTTTGCTGATGCCTCTGCGAATATATATATATAGAGTTAACATCTTATCATATGACTGTTACTGAACTTTTATTTGGGTTCTTTCTGATGCCCTGAAACAGGATGGTAAGGTATCGCAGCTTGAGCATGTCTTCATTCGAGGAAGCAAAGTCAGGTACTTTGTGTTCTACTTATTTACTTTGTTGTATCATTCTTGTCAAACATAGCTGGACTTATAAGTGACTTCTGGTGAGATTCTTGATAGGTTTATAGTGATACCAGACATGCTGAAGGATGGTCCAGTATTCAAGAAATTAGAGGGTAAAGTCAAGGTATATTTCTTGAACACAATGCTGAATGACATGAGTGATAATCAAACGCTTGTATGCTTTATAACTGTGGAAGGTAATAGCATCTTGTTTACTTGATCAATGCAGGGAAGGGGCTCGTCACTAGGTG